TTCTCATTTTCCATTCAATTTCAACGATTAAAGTATTGTTAGGCTATTATGCGCCGGTGCCTGAGAAAAGAGAGAGAGAGAGAGAGAGAGAGAGAGAGAGAGACGCGTCCACATGCTACTAATGACAACGACTTATAAATAGAATGTGAAATGCATCCCACGCGACTGCTTACGTCATGAAACGTCGCCTGTCCGTTCAAGGACTAAGGGCCGATCGCATCGAGCGTGGATTGCAGATTTATTTAATTAGATTTTCCATTGCTTAACTAAAAGGAAAAAAAAAACAAAAACAAGAATTTCCATTTCGACGCCATCAATCTTTTTTTTTTCAAATTACAGATTTTTGCCTGGATGTTTAATTTGGGTAAAGCGATCTATCGGTCGACGTACGTTTAATATCTCGAATATCGAGATTCCCGCATCGTGAGATTGCACACGACGAACATTTGTCACCCCCTGACGAAACGGAGAACCACTGTGCCACCACCGTTAGACTATACACTACGTAACGGCTGGGTCGTAAATGTATTGGTCTCGACGGCGTGGGTGGTACGTAGAGCAACGGCAATGTGCCAACCGTGAGAGAGGCAGCCATGAATGAAAGTGCCGCGTATCGATTTATCTGCGCCGCCCTACATACGAAATATGATAAATAGAGAGTGCCTCTACCGATTTGTACAGTGACACTTGGAATCACCACGTCATCTATGCGTATTCATCTCCTTTTAGTTTCAATTCCAGTTATGTGCTAATTGAGCGTGTGAGGCGCAGCATCGTTATCTCACGTATCTAATACGTGTATAATGAGATTAGATCAGAGTTATTTCAATGAGAACACAATGGCGAGGGAGAGTAAAGAAGACATTATGTTTCGTAATGTCAGATAAACCAGCGGCAGAATTAATTGTGAGAGCAAGGTAGTTACATGAAAATTCGTCAAAAATGCGTGTTGCGTGCAAATAATACAACAAATTATATAATAAAAATTATATAATTGACGCATTTAAACTACGTCATTCTGTGTAACAAATCTTAAACAAATCTATCCGGAGTTTAATCACATGTACTAATTGAAGCTAATAATTGAATGAAGATTGTTGTCGAATCTTCGAATATTTCATTTCATAATTTTATGTCAAAATTTTGCGTCAACCATCGTCTATTTCAGAAATTTTATGAGATTCGTTAAGATAAAAAAAACAATTGGATATGGAATTTCGCGATTGTGTGTAATCGATGCGAACAACCGTGGACTAGCAATTCCGTCTGTAATACAGCACCAAACGCGTCACCGTTCAAAACGATTCGATGTGGCGCCATTATTCATTCATGCGAGTTGCCTCTACGTCAATGACTGGGAATCATTTCAAGTTACCTTGTCAATTTGAAGATCGCTAATATACAAATCAAGCGAATTCAAGGCTCTCGAATACTTAAGGAATCTAAAGTTTGGAGGATTCAAATGGAAATGAGTCAGAATCCATCACGATTGGAGCAACCAACGTCAAGTGCAAGTTATCGACCATTTACCACTTTATGCTTGATACTGATAAGACCGCATCAATCTTATCGCACAGAATGATCGCGAATTCTCGTGAATAGGCAAAATCAATTTCTTCGCAAGACTGCCTACGCAAATTCGTTCGGGCCGGCAACGGCCGCCATATCGCTGATCGCGCGAGACCATCACTTCGCGGACACATCGATGGTGAGGACGTGGATTAACACTAGACATATCTAAACGATTCTACAGTCAAAGATGATGTTTCTTCAAAGACTTACCTGGGTCATGAGAGAGGCGGAATCTTCATGCTCGCGGTGAGATACGCTGCTGTGACGGCAAGAGGGTGCAGCAGCGCGGTGGCAGCGTCGGCGGAGGGGTCGGCGGCGGGGTTGGGGTCGGCGGCGGCAGCGGTGGCAGCGTCGGCTGGTACTGGTGCTGGTGCTGGTGCTGCTCGCGCGAAATCGGCGTCGCGCGAATGTTCGCGTTTCATCGCGCCGACGAACGGATATTCCTCTCACATCCCCTCGCGTCGTTGAATTTCACTGTTTTTTTTTCTTCTCTTTCTTTCTCTTCTTTTTAATTCGTTCGCACGTTCGCGCTCGCTTGGTTTTCACACAGGGTATTCGCGCGATGGAAGGGTGTGTTACGCGCGCACCATGGACGCGCGTTTCGCGAAGAATCGAGCCGACCGACCGACCCTCCGACAATGGCTGCGGTTCCGCTGGGGGTTGAAGGGAGCACGCGCGAGGCAACGCGACGCGACGCGACGCGACGCGGGCGTCGCTGTGACGCATTACCAGCGTAAGAGGGAGGAAAGGGCGGAAGAGAGAGTGGGTGTAATGAGATACGTTTCTCCTGCCAACTGGGGGTGGATGGGTGAGCGTAGGTAGATGCGCGAGAAACGTGTGGCTTGCGGTATCTATAGCGAACTTATAATAGAGAACGTCTCCGCGATTGCACATTTGTAGTATGCTTGCTCATCTCTCTCTCTCTCTCTCTCTCTCTCTCTCTCTCTCTCCCCCCCCCCTTCGTGACGCGTTACAGACGTCAAAGGGAGTTGGACGCGACGAATATAAAGAGATATGTTTGGCGCTTTTGCACGTATGACGAGATGCGTCTGTTACATCGACGATGAAGCGATTTATCTCTTTAATATAAATGCAATATTGATCGTTTTTAAGTCACATTTAAACTAGAATTTTTACAAATAAAGCTTTAATTCGACAAAAAGTATCAGCTCAATCAAACTATATGTATGTTCAAGTTATCTAATGGATTGCATAAAGTCAAGGGTAAATGTAAAGTAACGCCATATACATAGATATGATACGAAAATAAAGCGTAAATGTGGAATATCATTTTAAATAATAATACGAGTGAATAAAGTTTATAAAATTCTTTATTTTCTATTCTTCCTTATATTATATATTATGTTAATATAGAACATAACGTGCTCGCACGTGCACGCGTGTTAAAAACGCCGATAGAAATTAAGATAATACGTTAAACGTACGATCATTCAAATGAATTTTGCCTAACTTTAAAGACTTGATTCAAGGACGAATACGGCGAGTAACGAAACACGTCGTCTGTATTGAGATTACATCGCAGTATCACTACGCCTGACGGGTTCACTTTGACCTTGATCTTGGTCTGTGGCGTCAGCACGTGATAATCCACGTCCTCGTACAAATCCTGAAAAGAATGATATTTTCGAATTTTTTTCCTAAACATTTTTACCGATCAAACTATTATACATAATTGCTACGAACCTCCACTCGATATCCTGCAGGATACTGTAAACCCAACTCCTTCAGTGTGACCGACACATCCGACGGTGTGCCGTCCGTTCGTCTGTTGACGAACGCGATCGCGTACGAGTAGTAGTTTTGGTAAACAGGGGTGATGGGCCTTGCCCAAATCTCAATGCCCTTGTGCTGTAATTGTAAGTTATCAATGGATCGCACTATCTAAGACACATTCTGATGAGTTCAGTCGAAACTGTATAACTATCACTAATATAACTGGATTATTATGACTTTAATTTCGAATATCAACTCGTGATAATACCAATTAATCACCGATATATTCAAGGCACTGGCACATTTAACTTTTAAATCACTCACTTTGTATATCCGTCGACCTTGAATGCCCAATAGATCTTGGTCTACGGCGATAATCTTTTTGTTTTGCAGGATGGCTTTGTACTCTGGCCTAATCGTCCTAAGATCAACAGACATGAGCAATGGTGCTGCTAGTATAGCCCAGATCGCCATTTGCGTTTTGCTCTGCTCGTAGCTCAAACCAAAATTACCGATAATTAACATGTCTGGATCATTCCAGTGTCCAGGACCGGCATTGGACACAATCGCGTCTTGATTGTTACCGTAGTAATCGATGATACTCTCTACACTAGCCCATGAGTCCTGAATGTCATCGAAGTTGCGCCAGAGATTGCAGTTTTCTGCAATCGAGGTGTAATTTGGCTGAAAATTATATTAACGTCAATAACTGCCTCTAGAAGAAATAAATCGGAGGAAATGTATTGAGATGCTTACCTTCATACCTGCATAGATTTGATAAACAGGCCAGCTGCATGAATATATCATGTGTTTTCCAGTCTGATTTAGGAGATACCCAAACTCAGGATAGCCTTCAGTAAATACCATATTATTTTAATATTAATTTATTTAATTAAGAAAGAAATTTATACAGATCATTTATAAGATATAATTATACCTCTATCCATATCAACAGGATGCGAATAACATCCGTCTAACTTTACATAATCTACATCCCAGGAAGCAAATGTGGCAGCATCTATATCCAAGTAACCCAATATTCCTGGATATCCAGCACAAGTATAATTACCATAGTCCTCATAGATACCAAACTTGAGACCTTTTGAATGCACCTAACAAACAGAGCAATGTCTTTCATAAAGCATCACGTACAGTTACAAAAGAGTATTATAAGCCTGAGAAGTGAGCCAAGTGCAGAGTAACGAATTTATGCAACAGACAAACATTGAAACAGAGAAACGACATTTCTAAAGTGATAGACAGTAAATTACATAATCTGACAGACTCTTCATGCCATATGGGAATCGTTCTCTATCTGGTACAAGTTGTCCATTTAAATCTCTTTCTTTCTCCAGCCAACAATCGTCCACATTAATGTATTCATATCCTACTGCAGCATATCCTTCTGCCACCACAATATCTGTCATGGTCCGGAAGAGACGATCACTGTAAATCAAATGGGACCAATCACTATGATTTCTTTTGCGCTTACATTGAGTATTCTATTCACATATCGTCACTGTTCTAGAGCTCACCTTATACAATTGTCTGGATCATTCTTGCAATCTGTGTTGCACCTGAATCTTTCCCACGCTAACCATCCCATCGGAGGTGTTCTGGCCAGTCCATTCTCCAACGCTGGAGCTAGAGTGACCAGCGATAAGAGAAGACAAAGGGACCACAGGTTGCGCAGCATTCTGTAGAAAGATAATAAAGCTGCTCTCGGTCAGTGAGTAGGATAATGACGAGGCTACCAGGTCGGCAGCATAGTCCGGGGACGCGAAGCGGAACAGGATTCCCGTGACAAGACGGTCGACGGAGAGGTCATCAGGAGAGCCCGCTGGTGAAGAGAAACGACGCGAAGTAAACGCGTGTTGTGACGAGGCGCGCCTACCGTACTGATCTGATATAAGAGGTAGGCTCGCTCGCACGCTCGCTCGCCGTTGCCGCTGCCGTCGCCGCCGCTGCCGCTGCCGCGAGTACTTTCACCCAATGCCCCATTTCATTTTTACGCGCGATCACCGTCGCCGACTCGCGTCGTGCCGCGCCTGCCTCCGCCGATCCACGCGTCTGTCGACAAACAACGTCGTACCTAGACCGGCCCGTTCGCGTTATGCGGGCATAATCGCTTCGAGTTTCCCTATCCGAGCGGATGTGCTGTCGTGTCACGCCGTGCCGTGTAGCGAAGAGGTTAGGGGACGCGCGCGCGACAGGTTAGATCACTTCTGCTCCGGAAATGTCTTGTGAAATCCCTGAAATCTCGCGACCTCTTTCTTTTCCCTTCCTTTTTTTTTCTTTTTTTTTTTTTAAGAATGGAATATTCGCGCCTCGAGATTGAGGATTTTTTGTCAATTTTCTTAGAATTTCAAACTGTCTCTAGATCTTTTCCAATCTTTGTCTCGTTGATTTTATTAGTTATCAGAATTAAATAAAAGAATAGTTTTAAACTTTAATCGATATATTAGTATCTTGATATTTTTTATTATATTTTCAAACGGTACTGCTTTAGTTAATGCAAATGCTTCCAATCTATTAGTAAGTCTTGATCTATAAATTATTCTTTCTTTTTAAATCGCTACAACTTATGAATTACTCTTTGAACTTCATTGTGCGCTTATGGATGATAAATTTAAATATTAATTATGTTTAAATAAGAAAAACGACGAATGAAAATATTTGTTATATTACATGTTTCACTTTTCTATAATTTCAGGGAATAATATGAAGAGTTATTTACCTTCTGGGGCACCTATTTTATTTCTTTTCTTTAGACCAGTTGGTTGGACAATTTCAAATTTACTTTAGGATCGCGCCGTCTCGACAAGAGCGTAGCTAATTGCATGAGAGAACTACGAGTGCCAAGACTGCGCCTAGTGTCAGACGTTTTTCCGAAGGCTACTGAAAGATGCTAAACAATAATATAATGCGTCCTTCGTATTTCAAATCGACGCCTCAAGGTTCCACATCTAAGCGTATGCAAGCATTGTCGGAAATCAAGGTTTGTAAAGAGATGTCGAGGAGACTACTGTACGGAAAAGTAGGCTTAATTGTCCTCGCTTATTCATACCGAACTCTCGTTGACGCTTTAATTTATACTACAGATCTGATCGACGCTAGCCTCGCTCGTCACCGATAAAAATGAAAGCATCGTGGTTTGTGGAAGGGCGGTGACGTGGACGGCGCGTTAAGAGAGCGAGAGGAGACAAAGCGAGAAAACAGCAAAAAGATCGGTTGAGCGATCGGAGGGAGAAAGACGACGACAGGCAACAGTAATATCGCGAGTGGGAGAGACGTGGTGAACTCGCAATCGTGCTGACGTACAGGATACCTCAAAAGTCACCTGATTTCTTTTAAGTCTATATTTCAATCACTTTATCCTGACAGAATGTTACTGCTGTCGCTCTGTGAAGGTTTATTATCGTTGTTCTGATACTAATTTTATATACTCTTGCTTTCTTTCTTTTTCTCATTCTTTTAACGCAATATTAATATATCGTTATTATTATTGTGTATCATGACTGTGTATTACTACATGAACTAACGTGTATCAAATTGTTTCCGCATATATAGTGCGGGCGGTATGCCGCGACGCGAGAAAGTAGCCAAATAGATGCGAACCGGTTCGCAATCCTCGTCGTCATTCTACGCCGTGGAAAAAAAGAAAAGAAGAGTCAAAGGAAGAAAGAGAGCGAATATGGGGATATCTCGACGAAAAGAAAAGATACTGCGTACGCCTGTCATCGCGATACTTCGGTAGCATTTCTTTACGCCAACGTTTCTACATCACGGGCGGAAATTTTGATCGCGCGATCGTAATCTTTCGCGCACTTGATCGTTGAACGTCGAGTATGGGTTACCGGAGTAATACAAGAATAGTTTGTTACGAGTTATGGCAATATAATAGATTGTAGTTTTAGCTCGAAACGTTAGATTGCGCGTTATTAACGATTCGAGAGCCGTACCGGAAATGGTTACTTTAAGTATCCAATCGCTGAGGGCGATAAAAGAATGCGCAAGATACCGGAGATAATTAAGAAATAATTAAATATTTACGTTCTTTGATTTTCTGGGACGCCGTACGAAATTAGCATGGAGTTTATCAGAGAAATCAGAAAAGCACAGTACTGGACTTGCAATATTTTTTCCTTATCATTCAAATTTTCTCGAAAATTTCTAAATCTCTCGAAATTTGTAGATTGTCAAACGAAAAATTTTTATGCGTCGTAACTATCGTTACGCGTTTCTAAATTTGTTCGCTCTTGATAATTCGTGATACTGATATCAATATTTTATTTTGTAATAACGAGATATAATGAGGCATGGAAGTACTGATATGCTTTTCTTTCTTCTCATATCGGAGCGATCGTAATTGAGTGGAATCTTGTTACATCACAGATAATTATGATATGATAAATTCAAAAATATTCCACATTTAAATAGCGAATAGCTCGTCTCTTTTTTAAACGTCATAAATTAAATAGCTCTATTTTGTTCGGATATAAACGATCGTGCATTGTATATCCACCTCCCTCGCATTTCTTTACAAAGAAAGACATAAAAGAGCACAGCTTCTCGCCTTCTAATTTCCCCCTCCTTCCTTCACCGAGGAATGGAGAGTTTGATTTCTTGCACGCTCGCGTCTCTCTCCGCCAAGTTAATTCTGCTCTCTATCTCAAAGGGAAAAGAGAGAGAAAAATTGAAGAGAGAAAAAAAATTGTTGACCATAATGACACGAAATTAGCGTCGCGTCCTAATCGGTGGACGATATTACAGATGTGTTACTGAGCGGTGGGTCGAGGTCGATGAAATATTCCCATCGACTCTTGCATTCTAAGCTATCGTAACCCTGGCACGATCTACATCCACGCTCCACTCGTCTCGCGGAATTGTCGACCGGTACCACAGCATCGCGCTCGCAATTTGCATCTCGATCCCTTCCTCTATCCTTCCTTCCCTCCCTCTCGATACCATTTATAACGTTTCCGAAGGAGAAATCGAAATGGCAAAATTCAAATGACGAGGATGAATCCAATTCCAGAGATACATCTTAGCCTCCTTAAAGATTTTTTAGGATATACGAAAGGATGTTTGACGAGGCTCTTATAACGCCTCTTAGAAACGGTGCGTCTTCTAATCGCAAACAATAGAAATCTGTATCTGCGGTGAATTAAACGATGCACGCGAGCGTGCGGATAGTACAGACTTCTTGCGACGTGAGAGGGGCGATTGTCTTTACACGCAATCAATGTTCTCGCGTAATGCAAGGAAAGAACAAAAAAAAAGGGAAAATAACGTACCTTTTGTCTGCCACGTGTTGCGTGAGAGTGTTATTTTATTATTGTGCGCGCTTCATTATATATACCCTATATATATCAGTAACTTGTATGGATGTGCTCATTTTGTAAATATATTATGATCAAATACGTTTATATTTGAGAGTTTCGATTGTGTACGTAACAATTCAACATATCTAGATGCGTTATCAAGCATCGCCTATTCGATAGGTCTATATCTTCATTGATAAGGATTACCTGATGGATCTCTATAATGGCGCAAATGACTTTGGCGATAAACAAGCCAAAATAAATAACGAATTATCGCCATTTCGATTCAAAGCTACATGTCAATGAGAGCGTGTTGCGCTTTACTGAACACTCAGGAAACACATTCTCCTGAATGTTACGGGCGAGCAATATTGAAACAACACATCTTCGGATATCAATAGAACAGATCCCACGCGCTTCGCGTTTAAGCTCAGTTCGACTTGGCAGAGTTTCAACAAAGTTGCACGCAATTTGCATCGCGTCGCGTTTTATTTTCGACGTCTCCAGCGTGAAACACGACGTCGCTTTCGCATCCTTAAATGGCGATCGCTGAAATTGGGGGAAAGAAAAGAAATTGTGGATGGAATTATCCAATACAATTGACTTGAAAATTGGACTCCTGGGAAGGGAAAAGAAATCTCGTATTTTGGATGGATAGAACTAATATTTATTTGGAATTCTTTAGATAACACTTTGTTGTTCTGCGCACAATCGATCAGTTAAATAACAACTTTCTTATTTTGAAACGCATACTCGTGTCATTGACACTATACATTTTTAAAGACTAGAATCTCGAGGGAAAAGATAAAAAATTGATTGAATAACAACGGTATCTTCCTTATAATCATAAAAATGAATTTATCAAATATGTTCATTAGCTCAAGTGACAGAGCTGTATCTTCAGTTAACTATAAAAAGATTAGAATTCTCTATGATGAGATACATTTATTATCATTAAGAAAATGCCGAAAAATAAATAGCAGCCGTTTATTATTTAATTACAAAAGTAAAATTATATATGTATTTATGTGTACATACAAAAAAATATGAGATATAGCTGTAACGACTGGAAAAAACGATTTGCAAGAGTTTTAATTTACTTTCCAAGAAGAATTTTGCGAGTGGCACCGATGCTTTGGCCTGCCTGGGTCGCACCCTTGTTGGAACCCGCTTGAAGACCAATCACTCCCTGACCAGCTCGCAATTGTTCCTCTGTAAAATCACGTTTGCATTCGTCTGATGGCTTAGGTCCTAGATAAGGTCCTTTCCATTCGGGATGCTTGTATGTCTAAACGAACAGAGATATAAATGTTTTTTCTTCTGACAATAATTATATCAGTCAAAATTATTTACTATGTAAAGAAAATTATTGCAAAATTTGTATAAAAATTAATGATAACAAGGATAAGGAAACGTACTGTTCGGCCGAGTGCGAACAGTGTTGTTACTACTTGGGCTACATCTTTCTTCTCCCATAAGTCTACGGTCTGGAAAACATCGACGTCGTCCACCCCGTAATCCTTTAACGCCTTTTGAAACCTACAACATATTCAATGTAATCATAATGTATAATCGGTACAAATATCTCACCAGCCACCACTTACAAATTGATATTTTCCATCATCTTGAACTGTCCACCGGTACTGTTGATCTTTGGTACGGATCCAGGTGAAAGCTTATTCATCAAATGGCACAAGACCTGACCATCCTTGAGCACCTCTTCAAAGGTCTCACCAGGAGGAAACTTCTTACCAAGGATCGATTCGATCCATTCCTGTGCCTCCTTCTCCTGTTCGGGGTTGCGTTTCGCTGCAATCTGTGCAAAATTATGTGCGAATGTCAAAATTATAACATACTGTTGTTTAGCAGAAAAGGATTATTATGGAAATTCGTCTTGATCTCCAATGGATTGATAGAATCCCGCGATACTTCAAGTATTTCAAGGAACACATCTCTTTCGAAAAAAATACATTTTGTTTGGTATTATCAAGCAATTGGCTTCTTTCTGTTTAAAAGTTAAGAAAATAAAGAACTCGGAAGAATAAATCACTATATGATACACGTGACCATGAACGGATCGGAACGGATTACACTACACAATTGAAATATTGTATGTGTATATAAATTAATATATACCTTAGCGCGCACTTGACGTTCTAGAGCCATCCTTATGATATTTTTGAAAAGACTGAAGTGCCGCGGCTTCTAGACGTGGCTTTTTATACGTTTCGGAGGTGTACAGAACCACCGTGGGCCAAGTCGGGGGAGAAATCCGTCCAACAACGTAAGAGGGTTGTATACGGGGTGTCCTAAGAAATGTTTCGACGAAAAAAAATGTTTCGTCGGAATTTTCCAGGGAAAATCGCAGTCGAAGATTCTTCGTTATTATATTCATGTCGACTGGATCTACCTTCAAGGCTTTCTTGATATAATATTTTCTTCTTCATTGACTTGGTAATCGATAAACGAGATACTATCGAAGATACTTTTTTCCCCATGTTCCACATCGTTGATGCGACACCCCGTATAAGCGACGCAAGCGTGCGTGATTCCACACGTTTCGGTATTCTAATATTAGCGGCTTATTCAGTTAAACGAGAAATAGGTTTTCCGAAATCGCAGAGACGCGCAGCTGCTGCGTGAAAATTGGGCAACTTAGTAATGATTATAACATCCGGTAAATAACCGAAACAAGATTCGCATGAATAAGTCACTGTTTTGTTTTAAAACGAGCCAATGTAATAAAACAACTATTAAGGATCTCAGATGTCGATTGCGATAATGTCTATAAAAATGCAACGGCAAGAGAATTTTGATTTTTTTCCATTGAATCTCACAACAATTGCCTGATAGAGCAGTGAAAAAAAAATTTACTAAATTTTATTTCTTTGAATCGTAAACATTCATTTACAGTAAATAAATATTTATTTAATAAAAGATAGTTGAATCAAATTAATGGGTTTTGTATCAAATAAGTAAATATTTATTTATAACGATTTAAACAAATATTTATTAAAATTCTTTTTTTCAGTGTAATTATCTGAAATTTCTTTTATTTTATTTTTTTTTTATATAAATTCGAGATTGCGCATATTCCAATTTGAACGAAGAAATGATGAGGAACGAATGAACGATGGACAAATAAGAAGGGAGATTCTTCATTATACGTCATTGCAGAAGTTAGAATTAGAAAGACTTGAATGAATCCTTATTGGAATACAGAAATGTCAAATCTAGGATCGTCTGACTTGTTCGAATAAAACTGTTCGCGTTGTTCTTAGTTCTGATTACAATGCGATTCTTAGTGCTGATTATTCCAGCACGTAGCTCATCAGTAGGGCGTAGGCAACGTGTCGAGGTCCTGACACAGAAGGAAAAAAAATACGATCGCCCTCGTGGAAAGTGGGACGTGCTACTTTTAAATAGTTCTCTGTCATATAGCTCGGGTTATTATTGCGCGATCCAGATTTTGCTGCAGATACTCTCTGTCGTGCGAACGCAAGATAGAGAAAATACGGAAAATTATAGACATTCCGAGGACGAGGCTTTAAAAGTTCATCGCTAATATATAATGGACTAATATAGGCGAGAGCGCTTGAGAGAATTCAAAGAATATCAAACTTTGTTCCTGCAAGACGACTTTATAATAAATCAATCGGGAAAAATTAAAATTACTATTACACGTTTTAGATATCAAAAGAGCAATGATAACTCAGTCCCTTGAGTTAAATAACATTTTATTATTTTTAACTTTCGTGTGTCAAACTGTAAATTAATCCATTTATATGATAGAATCATTTAGTTTCGAAGAGTAAATAACGCTTATATTAATGTATACATTTATTATTAGTACATAAATTAAATATTTGAGTTAGATTTAATATATTTCTTAAGTTAATTTGTTTAACTTCATGATTTAGTTCAATTATGACATATTGAGGAATAGTAGCGACTTACAGAAATGATTAAAAATTGATCAAATTGATTATAATGGTATAACATATATAATAAATTATATAAGATATATATAAGATATTATTTAATACATAATATGAAGATATGTTTTTAGAAGTTGCAAAGTACGCTGTAACATCCGAAACGGAAAGTAACGAATACAATATCTTCCAGAAGGACAGTAAAATTTGCGCGGTTTCATTACGTTACGTAATTTGAATCTCGCGTGTGTCGATTCAAAGGAGATCATTTATTGGTTGGATGGTGGACCGATGAATCACGTTTAAATTTAAGTTTTCTGCGTTCTTCCACTAGCTACAATATCGTCTGCTCCGTGTCGAAGGTGCGTAGGTGTTTTTCCTGAGAGCGCGATGATGAGACTCCGTATTCTTGACATTATCTTAAATGCAACTATTCGATACATTATTAGATATCAAAGGAATAACGATAGCTTCATATCTTGAATTTGAATAACATTTTATTATTTTTAACTTTTCGAAAATATAAATCAATCCATTTATGTGAGTTTCAAAATAAACAACATCCATATTAACGTATATTCTTTTTATTAGTAAATGTAAACTAAAGAATTAAATTTAAAATAAATTTTCTTGAGTTAAATTATCTAATTTCATTATTTTAATTGAATTATAATGACATATTGACTAGGAGCTGTGACAACCTATAAAAGTGATTCAAAATAACTTAAATTAAATTTAAATTGCCATTATAAATTTAACAGAGTAGATTCATAATACAATTTCTGATTCGTATTTATAATTTCTTGATTAAAATCTTATGTATTTGATAAATACATTTTTAATTAATTTCAAATTGAAATGAGAAAATATTATGCATATATTGAAGACATATAATAAAACAACTTTAATATAATAATAGAGCTAAACGAAAAATAATTAACATTGAATGCAACTTCTAACTCAGATTTATAATTTCTGAAATTTTACATTTTCTATAAATATATTGTAAATTAATTTTGATTGAAATTCTTTGTATATCTTTTTAATCTTCTCGTCGTTTGGTGTAAGTACGTGGTTGAGTAGGACGCGATTTGAAAAACTTTTTTCCTGTTGATGGAACCACATCTTGCTGTATAAAGCAAAAAACAAAAAGATCAATGAAACATGATTATCTCAATATCCTGAATCGATAAGTGAATGAAAAAGGATAAATAAGATTATTATATATATATATATATAAGATTATTATATATTTAAAAACTCGTTCACTCTCACTTTCACTTATTTCAATAGTTCTTAACTCTCCTATTTGCAAAAAAATGTTCATTATATTATTATCTCTTTTTAGTATTTTCTTTTCGACTTTCTTGTATTATATTTAATAACGTATAAACATCTATACCTTGTCCTGACTTTGTCTTTTTTTCAAAGATGTACGAATCAATTTTTCTGATGATGATGTATCTTCATCGCTATCCAATAAATTCGCGTTAGAAATCTGTCAAATAAGAAATTCAATATATTAATAAAATCTTAATCTCATATTTAAAAAAATTTTTTTAATTCTTATTTCCTAAACTCTTGCAGAATGCAGAAACTTTGTATGAATCATCAAGCACGTCGAAAAAAATATCGATTCTGAAAAACAATTTTCGTCAAGGACTTATAGGAAAAGTGCAATGTCCTGATTTTTTTCTTTGTTGCGCGCCTTACTTGTGTATTCTCTCTTGACGTCATTGATCATTTTAGTTTGATAATTTATAATATTTTTTTAACTCGACTGATTGTG